CTTGCATCGCTTGCCTGCCAGAGGCTTCTGCATACAAGAAGTCCTAAGAACAGGAGCTGCAGTCAGACCAGGCCTATATTTAGCCTAGAATAGTTTGGATAGCAGCTAATGAAAGAGTAAAGACAGAGACATTTACCCTAAATATTCTGTTTTCCATCATTTGTAGCTGATGGGCCTCCGAAAATAGACAAAATTTCACTAAATTCTGGTTTTACGCCTACAACCCATTTACTCACTACAAAGCATCAGCTAAGGTTGCTGTGTTCCCTGAAAGCATAGACTTCACTTTACCAAAGATTTATGAAATGTGCCCCAATTCTATCCGAAATTATTATACTAAATGCTGTCAATATTTAATCTCATCCACCATATGAAACAGACACAAGACACCATAGGAAGAGAGGGAAACCAAAAAACAGGAAGAAAGGTAAAGCAATGAAGTACAAGTCCATCATGTCTAGCTCCCAAGTTAAATACCACAAAAAATATTGTTAAATAGCCATTTGCTACTAATTCTGCTGATGAAGTATTTTAATAGATTTCCATACTATAGCAAAAGTCTAAAAATCCTGTCTTCCCTTCCTGCAGGATCCCACCATCCAGGACAGTTAAAAGCAGATAGCAGCCGGGAGTGCTCTATAGACAGCTTATGAAGTCTCACAACCTTTTCTCTCCACCTTTCTCTCAGTTGTGTATTTGGGAAGTAGCTGTTGCAATGGGATAACTACAGCATTTTTTTATCATCTCCATAGCATCAATCTGCCCTGGCTTTCATTATGTAAGAGTATATTGTGTTTAAGCTTACCTTTACACAGGGAAACCTCCTCCTTCCACCCCTGCTGTTCTCAGACAACAGGGCAGGTTGATGTCTCACAACATTTTCCCTCAGCCTTATCTACCTCTGTCTTTAATGAGGTCTTAGTAATAGCCACAGCCTAATATGAAACGGGGTGGTGGAGACAGACAGGACCAAAAGAAAAAAACAAAACCAGATGCTGCATTACCCCAACATGCTGTTTACAGCTTGAACTGAACAGTTCTCTTTTTAACTACAGGAAGATGTCACAGGAGTTCCCCCTTTTCTGAGGAGGGGGCGAGGGGTGCACACTTTCATCTCTCCGATTACTCCTTTCAGAGCAAGGGGGTTTTGTTATGGTTTCTGGTTTTTTGGCTTTTGGTTTTTTCCCCTCCTTGAACCAGGTGTGCAGAAGTTACTGCCAAAATAGGGTTAGTGCTATGAGGAACTTGAACCTAGTGCCTTGAAAACACTGGAAAACTTCACTGTTTCCTCATCACTTAGTTCTCCTGTTTAAGGTTCAAGATTTCATGACTCCCCAGACACAGACAGCAAGGGAAGAGAGACCCAGAGCTGTTCCTCCTGCACCCCCAAAGCAGCCTAATGGCTGATCAATACACCCACATTTCAGTACCAGGGGACAAGGTCATAGTACTCCTCTAATGCATCTTCTACCTCAGTTCACTGAAGCAGTTATCCCTTGAGCCACTCACGGTCAGTCACAGGCAGTAGAGCTATGACATTTATTTCATATCTGTTGTATAACCATGCATGAATGTTCTGTTAAAATGCGTGTGACTGTGCAACTTTGAGGGCTGGTGCACTGGGGTGGGGTGACTGCTCCTACTCTCAGTGCAACCAACCACACTCATCTGAGAAAAGCTGTTAAACACACAATGTATCAGGAGAGATACAGCAAGCTGAAAGCACACAGCTATGAAATTCCTGCAAGATCACTGAAAGAGAGCACCTGGCAGAGATGTTTTTCCAGGTCAAGTTATCAAGACTAGGAAAGTAAAGCAGGAGAAAGACAGGACAAGTCCTGCAAAGGCTCAACTACCAGTTAAGATTTTGCCTCCCTTCCAAACTTTTTATTGAAATCTATCTCAGCAAGGCTTTTCATTTTTCTCCATTCTGCCTACAGTTTTATCTACAGAAAAGCATCTAGGCTTGACGGAGGCATGTTCACATTAAAGATAAGGCACTACCCCTGAAGTCAGGTAGACTTTAATTTCCTGTTATAAAGCCCTCTGCAGAGGTACAGGCTTCTCAGATGATGGGAACTGGTACTTCAAATGGGTAGCCATTTAAAGACAGGTTGCTGAAAACAGGTGGGACAGGGCTCAAACTCCACAGCTGCCAGACCTCCCTCCAGCAGCAGCCAGAAAAGAGGGCACAAGTGATGCAGGCACTTGGAATTTCATCAGTCCCTGCCCTTAGGCACCCACCTTGTCAGCAGAGGAGAGCTGTAAGGGAAAGGAGATGGAAAAACATAAACATGGTTGAGGGAAAAGAAGGAAGAATCTAGGCAATTTAATTATGCAGAGCCTGCATATGAAAATTTGAATATCTGATTAAGTTTAGCAATGGGCAGAGGGATTCTACACAATTCTTGTACATCTTCCTGCAGAATATGAAGTAAAGCAGCACTACAACTTAATAATTTATGTCAGAGGTCTTGCT